CAGTAAGAACATGTAATGTCACTGCAGCAGTTGGTAGGTTGCTAATTCTTAACGCTCCGCTAGAGTTACTAAAGACCTCGGGCAGACTTTAACAGAGGATGACATTTTCAGATCACTCTCCTGAATTTAAAAAAAGGGAAGAAAAAAAACATGCCCCAGACAATCTTTAACACTGCTTGCTCCCACCCATAACGATATATAATATGATATCCCAAAGTACATGTTTATTATTCATTAGAGGTGATGAAACACACCATGAAAGAAGCCAGCTCCCGGACATAAAGAACTGCACCCAAAAATGTGGAAATTAAAAAAAGTCTTAACACAATGAATCCTAACCAGGGTTGGCTTATTTTTTATTCCAAATGATAGCTCTGCAGCGCTGGAGGTATTCTAGCTCAAACATTTTTAATGAAAAACTTGAGAGAAAACAAGTAATCAACTAATTAGTTTCACATTGGGAGTGAGTAAACGTTGGTCTGCATACAAGTAGAGGAGTCTAGAGAGAAGCTAAAACTCCTCATGTGTAAATAAATAAATCCATAAGTGTTGATTTAAAACTAACTGGGGGGGGGCATGCCAACACAAACACTTGAAGGAATCTTTGTGTTCATGCGTTACTTTTAATGACGGCTGTCCTGTTCTATCAGAAAGGTATCCTTAAAAGACTTATTTCCCTGATTTCCGACTCTATCCACTATCCTATCCCTACAAAAATAAATCTTGAATTTTTTATTTTTTTATTAAAACATTCTGAATATAATGGTAGGGGAAACACTGAAAAGTAAGATAAGATAAACTTACTATTATCATACATTTAAGCAGCTGAAATCACAAGCTAAAAACAGCTCAAAAGATTTGCTAAAAAGTTTCTCAATAGATATAGTTGAAATAGTTAGCTAAAGATATACATTTTAAAAAGGCCAAAAGTAATAAATGAACAGTTAAAATACAAAGCTTCAAGTACTGAATAAACAGTGTGTTAGCTAAAAGCTAAAAACATTTAAAACAAATAGTTAAGCATAGTTGTTTATAAGATAGTTAGCTAGAATCAATGAATGAGCGGTTGACATGTAAGCTTAACGTGGTATTCAAAGAGTTGGTTCAAAAAGTAACTAATGAACGATGAAATAGCCGGCTAAGCTTAGAGGATAAACACTTGGTTAAAAGAGGAAATTGCTAGCTAATAGTAGCTCATAAACTATAGACTAAACGGAGAGAGCAACAGCCAAAACATTTAGAGCTCCCCCTGCTGACTGGCTCCTGTATAGGTCATAAACCCACTTCCTCTATGTAACAGATGGGACATGGGTCAAAATAATGTTTCTCAAACTCAGTTTCATCATAATAGTTATCATCCCATGTTGTGTTCAAGTCTTGTTTTTTTCTGAAAAGTTTCTTTTTTTTAAGTTATATTTCTCACGTTTTTGCCTTTAAAAGATAGGACAGCTGAAGGGAGACAGGAAATGTTGGGAGGAGAGAGTTGGGGATGACAAGCAGCAAAGAGCAGAGGTCAGATTTGGAGGACTATAGCCTCACATCAAACTTCCACCAGATACGTGTGAATTGTCGTATCGGTCCGTTGCGGCTCTGTGCACCCTCCGGCGCAGCTGGAGTGCTGAGACAAAGGAATTCCTGCGGTAATTTTACAGATTCTCTCGCAACAGCGCGACACATTACAATGGATGGTGTATAAAACTCTGTAGAAACCTTATAAACACATAAACAAACACACAAACGTCATTTTTCTGAACCGTCAAAACGGAGTGTTTTATTCTGAAAATAAACTGGATGTTTTAATGTTTTTTTGGGTGTCTGACTTCCCGTCCCGCTTGTTCTTTTCTGTATTAAATTGACGCGTCGTGCTCCAGCATCTGGCCAAAAATAGAAGCCCTGCGTATCAGATGCGGAGGGCACCGGACTGCCGGAGCTGAGATGCAATGCAGCGGAGCCAGTGGAAGCACACACATTGATCAGCTCCGCTAACAGAGCGGAGACGCACCGAACAAGCATCTGGTGGAAGTTGGACGTCAGCACATGAGCGTGTGACGTTACCGCTAGACCTAACTATTGGTGCCCCAGAGTAGTTTCTTTTTAGTCTTGTATTCAATTCAATGAAATAGTATAAAATGCCACGATTGAGAGCTGTGTTGGCGAATGCGGCTCCCGTGGCGCTGTGCACCAGATGAGCATTGTGAGAAAAGAAAACAAACACTAACACAAGAGTCATTGAATTTGGCTTCATCCTGTTCAATGGGAGCAGACTGAGGGACGCTGTCCATTTGAATTTACAGTCTATGGCATAAACTGTTGATTTAACTGTTGAACTCTCTCGCTCAACACAGCAGATAAAAAGTGTTAATTAAAAGTATTGAATAACAAAATGGCCAGCTAAACACAGATGACAGAGTTAGTTAGTTTAAAGTAATTGATTAACAGTTGCTAAAAATAAAGACTAAACAGTCACGATATTTTTCTGAATGTGAAGATGAAAAGGTTGAATTACAGCCACATTAAAACAATGAATGTCTGAAAGAAAGGGCTAAAAGAAATCTATAATTTGTTAAAGTAGTTAGCTAATAATAGGTTAATTCAATAAGATATTCATTCATTTATTGGAATTAACTTAGAATATGATTAACAAAGATAGCTTAAAGTTGAGATCTGTTTAAATGTCTATCATCTGTAACTCACTAACTAAGGAAAAGGGAGAATGCAAACTTGAATCCAAATTCATCGATAAGCAGTAAAGGGTGTTAAATGACATCCGGCAGCCTGACGTATGACATGAATTCAAACACGCGTGGAGCTTGAAAGGCGGTGCCTGCGATGTGGTTGTTTAGCTATTCTGACAGGACTGTGGGAGTCGAGACCAAAAAAAGAAAACAAAAACATTAAGAACCACTCGCTGCACATTATCTGATACAAGTGACAGTGGCGCTGCCATCTTAAGAGTAAGAAAAAGGACTTTAAAATGTGATGATGCTGTACAGTTTAATCTGCGTCCTCCAAAAACACAGCTGGAGGGGGAGTGTTGAAAATGCATAACATAAAACATGACCAGAAGGCTTGTAGATGGAGAGATGCTGTGACAATAGAACATCCTCCTAATCCTTTTAGCGTCTTTCACTATTGTAGTTCAGTACTGTGTGGAGCCTTAAGAAGAACAGCTTCCCTCCACCAAATATGCTTTTAAAGAGCAACACATAATGCCAAAGCTGCTATGGCCCTCACATTTCTTCATGATTACAATTATTCCCACTATCTGCTGTGTTATAAGTCTGGATTTTTTTGAGATTTTGCTTTGCTCTTATGCAGCAGTATTCAAGATCAAAAGGCACACAATCCTATCATCACATCTAATTGGAGTGCCTGAAGAATATTCAAATGTGCTCCGATGGTTTTGGGTTCTCCTGCACAAAATGATTGCTCGGTGAAGGTACAGAAAGATTGCTGTCCGTGGAAAGGACTTGAAACTATTTTAAATGAATGCAGATTGGTAATGCTGAAAGGTCCTGCGTCTGTGAATGACAACACAAGTCATTTTTCAGAGGAACTGCTCTATGAGGCAGCATGTCACATCACTTCCCCTTTGGGAATGACACTATTCAGCTCTTTTATTTATTTATTTTAAATACAAAACAAGCCATTTAATGCCTCTGGAGAGCTTTTATTTAATCTTGGACAGAGCCATGAACGCAAAGAAATACCCGGCTTTATGATCAAAGATGAAAGAATGCAGAAGCAGCCTGTTAGGCAAGACAAAGGGAACGCTTTTGATCTTTTGAAACGAGATGATTACATTTTTATGAATGGAGTTACTGCGTTTGATCAATTTGTTAAAACGAACACACGCTTACAGTCTTTTGAGTAAATCACTACACCAGTGAAATGATATCAGTATGAGGAAAATCCAAACATTTGAAGTTACTAAACAGGAAAATATGACACTTTAAAGACAAGTTTGCAAACAGGCTAGGACTCATACAATCTTCCATCTAGCCCCCTTTGTTTCCTTTTCTTGACACCTGTCAATCAGACTCCACAGGGACCTTGTGTGTTCCTTAATGGGTATGCTATTTATTTTGGATTTAAACCCAGGCTACTGCTGCCAGGTCCACACAAGCAGGATAACTCCTCCCTCCAAATATGTCTCTAAATGATCCCATACTGCCAAACTGTGATGCGCCCTGGGGCTTAAGACGCAAACCTTGTATAGTAGCTATAATTACTCGCGACATCCAGAGTTCAAATCCGGCTCAACACCTCAGTCTGCCATCATCACACGCCAGTCTCCACCAATACAACTCGTAAGGCAGGGGAGGGAGAAAAAAAAACCTTTAATATGCGGCTTTTTTTTTTTTTTTTTGCACAGAAAGCAAGACTTGTGAGGAAACTTGCAGAGAAAGATCTGGCTCCAAAACACAGCCACTGAGCGGAGTGCACAGTTCATCAGTGTCGGTGCATTTGTACTTCCTCTGAGGCGGATGGCTATAAATGAATGAATGGAGATGCTGTACTCTTTGCATCTTTCACTCTGGCCAGTGAGCTGATCTTTTTCTTCTTCTTCTTCAGAATAACGAACAGAAAAATTAAATGTACGAGTTTTCCCAAATGTTTTTGCAAAACGTCCAGCTGAGCAGCCATGGTTTCGGCAACCTCACCATCGACCAAAAGAACACACGCACACACACACAAACAGTTTCAAGCTCGTCAGGCAAGCCCCGTCCTTCACACGGGTGTCGCCTTGTTTAAGAGAAAATCCAGCAGCAAACTGTGACCAAAAACAAGCACATCCCAACAGCAACACGGCATCAAACATGCACAGGAGTGACTAGAAGGCGATAGAAGAAGCCTGATATACACTGTCACCACCATTCCTCCCTGCGCCCTGCATGTGTTGTAAGGTTACCCGGCATCTCAAAACACGTCTCCTGCAGCAAACATTTAAAAAAAAGAAAAAGAAAGAAAGAAAAAGCAGCAGCCTTGAACAATCTTACCTTTTTTTCTTCCCGAGGCACGGATGGAGCTTGAGTAAGGCTGGCAAAGCTCAGCTGATTGTGTTGGTGAAGAGGCTAGTATACGCTACTCCGGGGGGGTGGGGGTGGGGGGGGGGGATGTAGTCGAGACATGAGCTGAAGAAAAGTGAGAGGAGCAGCAGCAGCAGCAGCAGCGCAGAGGAAGATTTGGAACGGCGGAGGGGTCGGTGGGTCTGTGACGATTTTGTGTGAGGTGGTTCCCGCTCACTCACACCAGAGGCACGCCACACGCAGAGGGTTGCCTCGCCTGTTGGTTGGGAAACATCTCGGCAATGTGGTGTTATCCGCTTTTGAGTTTGAATTGAAGGAGGAAAAAGAAAAACGGGGAAACTTCCGCGGTGCGCAAGGAGAGAGGAAGGGAGAGTGTGGAGACGTAGCTGAGCGTGGACGCGTCCCAAAGAAAAAAAAAAAAAAAACCTGTCAGGAGGACATTTGGCTCAAGGTTGTGAGAACACATCCTTTGAGTAACTCTCCACCTTTTCCAGCAGTGGACTAAAGCCTGCAACACACTGAAGTTGTTCAGCCAAAATGAGTCTTTTGACACAAATAACAAGTGCCTGCGATTAAAGAGCCATTTGAGATGAGATTCAACTTTATTGTCATTACACATATACAAGTATAGAGTAACGAAATGAGGTTTGGCATCTCCCCAGAAGTGCAAATAAGCAGAAAGTGCAAGAGTCTGTGCTATGTACAGTAATTACAAAATTTACAGATGTAGACTAAAAAAAGTGAATTATTAGGTATATATGGATGGCTGGATTAATGGGATGCTATAATATAAATAAATGCTATAAATATAAGTGTATTTTTAGGATTATAATATACAGATTAAGGTGCAGTGAGCATGCTATACTAGCTTACAGATAATATAAAGAATATGGACATATTGTACAGGTCGATAACTTATTGAGGTGATATGAACATACTATAATACAATAATACAGGTGGATGAGAGATGTGTGTGTGTGACCAGGAGGAGTGGTGGGGGGATGATGGGTGTGAGGTGATATGCAGGGGAAAGGGGGGTCAGCAGGGGGCGGAGAGAGAGAGGGAGAGAGAGAGAGAGACAGAGTTCAGAGTTCGGGGGGGTAGAGTTCAGTAGAGAGACAGCTCTGGGGAAAAAGCTGTTCCTCAGTCTGCTGGTTCTGGTCCGGAGGCTTCTGAAGCGCCTACCGGAGGGCAGGAGGGTAAACAGTCTGTGGGCAGGGTTTACTATTTGTGACTAATAGTAAAAATTATTGTAAATATCGCTCAATGTGGTAGAAAATGGTTTACATGTCCAGCTATTATAGTGATTAGACTTAAGCAAACTAGATCACAACTTCCTAACCTGACATTGACCATCCAGTGTACAATAAAAAGCACCTTCACTCACAACATTACAATCTGAATGGTTAAAGTGTGAAATGACAGCAAGTGAACACATTTGGATTATTACAGCTGGTTTCAATGAGGAGGTAATTCAGCTCTAGGACTTTGGGGAACTCGACTAAAAAGAAAAAAAAAACAAATCAAGGCAATCACTGCTTTATCATTGTCCCCAAAAAGCTTTAACATGTGGTCACGTGACATGTACATTTGCGGTTCATCCTTAACAGACATCATCAGAGGAGCTAAATTAAAAGTTGTCATAATGTATGGATGGTCATAAGAGCTATGTGTGACCATCATTTACAGACTGATGCCGCATTCCCACACCGCGCACTCTTAGAAATTGCTGTAAATTTACAAGGAAATTTCAACAGTATGATCCTGTTATGTTTAAATACAGGACATTACTGTATTATAATGGTTTATAACAATATTTTACTGTATTATTGCTTGAAGGAAAAAACCCAGTAATTTACCGTAGTTTTTGCAACGCAATTTGGGAAAAAGAAGTTGAGACCATATGGTTGAAAGGACAGTGGAGTTGGCTTTGTCAGATTGTTATCCATCTCCATCCTGACAATTAAGAGGTGAGTGCCTTACTGCTTTGCTAGTTAGAATAGGCAAAAACCATCACTTACTAAGTTTGAAGTCATTTGTAAGATTAACGTTAGCGAGATTTGGAAAATTACACAGAAACACTGCAGGCAGACACACACGCAGTGAGTGAATTCTTTGCCAGCTAACATTAGCTTGAAATACAGATCTTAACAGTTGCTAAATGGGACAAAAAACCAAACATTTTCTTGTAATGTGGTTAACTAAGTGGCTGGGCTATAATGAACTTGACTTGCTTGCCTGGTTGTACTAGAATGGTAAGGTTAGCTAACAAAAACAGTCACTTTTTCTTTCTTTCAGCTTCAACTGACACTGACTATTGATTAAATATTGAATTAGAAATGATGATTAGCTGGGCCTACTCGACAATATGGCCATAGTATAAATAATATAATATACAGTATTTGAAAATGTACAAAAGGAAACTTTAGTGAGACTTTCAGAATGGGCCTGAAGCATGTTTTTTGTTTTTTTCTATTTTAACACATAAAGCTGCTGCCATACATCCTGAACTCATGTACTTAAAGTAATTCCAGGATGTATTTTTAGTCATACTAGTTCTACTTCATACTTTTACTTTATTTATTTGTATATGGAGAATATTCAGAAAGGATTGTCCATATGTTAATGTTCACTGTTCAGCTGGAGCTGCTTTTGTTCTAATGTTTTTTCCCTTTACAGAATCCTTGTGGCAGTTTCAGTCTGGAAGGAGAAATCAGAGGGAGGTGCAGGTGTTTATTCAGTTATGACTCTATAACAGATTTTTTTTCACTTCTCTGTTTAAAATGTATCTACCAAAACTCTTTTATGCACTTTTTATACGTTGGAAATGGCCTTTGCTAAATGTCTTAATGTAAATATTTGTGCTATATTTTATGCCTATTTAACCTTCATGTTCTAAAAATGGATTTTCTTTGTTTTTTTCAGTTTCAACAAAGACAGATGTGCGTTGAGAAGACAGTTTGAAGTTTGATTATTTGTCTTAACATTTTAAGTGTAAAATAACAGCATTAAACAGTTACGGTAATCCTTTCAACAGTATTTTCCTGTTAACATTTAAAATAACAGCTTTTTGCTGTATTTACAAAAACGGTAGAAAACTGTAAATCTCAGCAACAGCAATATACTGTTAATTTTACAGTAACTTCCTGGCAACCCTACTGCCAGTTGTTTACCGTTCTTTAACAGGGGGAATTTCTAAGAGTGCGGTTTGTCATCAGCAACATTTGGAGGGATCCATCTTTTTTAGAGGTTAGAGGTTTAGAGGTTAAAGGTTTAGAGAGATAATGTAGAGCTGAATCAGATCACTCTAATCTAAGTTCTAACAGATCAATAGAAAACAAATATTGTAAGAAGTTAAAATTAGCAAAAACGTCCTGTTTCATGTCATAGCCAAATGATAAAGATATGAAGGCTGTTTAACATGAATAGTACAGAATCATTGTGTAGAATATTGTATGCAGTGTTTTCAAATGCAGCAGAGGAGCCAGGGGCCTATAAGAACCGCCTTTGAAGCAAAATGCTGTGCTCAACATGTCAGAATGAATAAGTGCAATTTCTAAGAATATGAATTAATGTACTGATGCAATAAGATGGAGGGGCAAAAACAGATTCAGAGAGAAACCGAGTTAGACACTTCCCTTGTGTCTTGCTTGCCCCAAACTGTTGACAATAATAGACAATGTCTCCCACCGTCTTCAAAAACATGCCGGACAATCTGAAGTGCAATATCAGCACTCCACTCCTGCTGCTCCAAAGAAAGATGCAGGAGGTCTTTCTTATTAACCTCAATCAGGAAAATATGAGATTAATGATATGTGTTGGTGTATGTCACTGGCTAATATCATCACCACTGCGTTACTCTGCTCACTCGCCTGTTTATTTTATTTTCTCTACTGTCTGCATCTTATTGCTCCTAGTTGTAGATCTTTGTATCTTTTCACCCTCATGTGTGTTTAGTGTTTTTTCCTCTTGTTGTCCTACATTGCAACTTTAAGTGACTGCTACAACAGCCACATTTCCCCCCAGAGATTAATACAAATATCTATCATCTACCTACCTATCTCAGACTGTAACATACTGAAGTTAAATGCTATTTAGACACAAGACATGGACTTTATTTGCTTCTTAAGTAAAAAATCTCACTTGTTTATTTCCAACAATGTGCCAACATTGGGGTTTACAGATAAAAAGCTGTACAAGAAAAGATACACATTAAGCTCCAGACATGCAAAATAACAACAACCAAAAAACACTAAAAAAAATAAGTTACAGGGTTTTTTTTTATGTAGATATTCCTCACTGACGCAAGAGGTTGATGTGGATTACAATGATCCCCGTTTGTTTGTCTTTTTGGCAATTAACATACAATCGTTCTTGTTAAATGTTTGTTTAGTTGACTACTGACAATGCTTTAGGCAAATAGCAGCCAGGGCATCTGGGTCTAATATTCAGGAAAATACAACAGTACAAGAGAGACAACGTAATAAACACATATAAATCTTTGTACACTAAAACATACTCAGATCGCTTGCATGTTGCTCGCTCTGAGGAGAGAAGGACATGAAATATGTACAAGTCTAAAAATTGGCAGGAAGCAAGTGGTTGTTTTTTCCCCTCCACTGAGTAAAGCCACTACCTCTGCTTTGAGGACACACTGTCGCCCTGCCCATCACCCGCCGTCTGCTGCCGGCTGATGTTGCCCTGACAAAACTGTTTGAGGCCGTCATAGCCCTGGGTGAACAGATACTCCAGGTACCAGCTCCACGGCTTGGGGTGCTGAAACACACAGAGAAACAGATCTAAGACACCTGAAGATTTGCTTCATCAACCAGGTGATTTATGCTTATCTCTGAAGTCTGACTGATGAACATCAAAACAACATGCGAGGTGGATTATAAATGCAGGAATGAAAAGGAGACCCGTCATACCTTTATGGAATTGAGGTCCATGTCCTTTCTCCCTGGCCAACACTGATAAAGAGACAACATTAATATTCATTGTCAGCCCATTGTTAAATGTCACAAGATCACCGCTGGATGTTGCGGTTGG